ATCATAGTATAAATTTATGGTCCTACTTCAAGGAAAGGAAATTGGAGTCTATTTCTAAGGAGATTTATACTACTACTTTGATGAAGGATGTAAGTTTTCTTTAACAAATAATTTGTTACTAATACATAATATAATTTTTCTTTAACCGATGATCAAATTTTAATCAATTTAACTGCAAAATAATAAACTGGGCGAATATTTCGAGAAAAGAGTAATAAGTATATCTAATTAGAATGGGGATTGAAAAAAAATCATATAAAAATGATCTCACCTACCAAAGTCATGGTGAGCTTTATATTGTTGTTTCACAAGTGAAGACAAAGATAAGATTAAAAATATTGTTTATAGAAGACAATGGAAATTCTTGCAACCATAACAAAATATTGTATACCTTGAAATCTTTCAAAAATTTTGAAATTACAAAAGACTTTGTCCATTACACTTTCAATTTCTCAAATATTATTTATTCTACTTTGGGTTTTGTGTCCATAGTGTTAAAAATAGTGCTACAAATATATTTTATTTATTCAATAAAAATATTACATTGAAAAAAAATAGTTTCGGAAAAAATTTTGTTCGGCCCCGTGCGTTGCACGGGTCAAAGTACTAGTTATAATGCATGTATAAAAGTGACTCAATGGTTTTGTAAAATAGACTACGGAGTATAATTCAAAATACATAACCCAACGGTGCTACTCCCTATTAATTTAGTAATGTCTACTATGAAGTGAGCATTATAGAACAACAAAGTGAGGATTATGAAATTCCAAGAGTGGAATCTAGCAAATGTGCAAATTCCATTTCATACAACCTCCCCTTGGATTAATAATCAACATCATACATCTCAATATATACTTTACGAAATAATGATACTTCGGGTAACAGATAATTTTGAAAAGCAACAAAGTTAAAGACCCGAGTTGGAAAGGGACTTGAGAATTTTACATAGACGCTTCTTTTCTGCATATTTCAGGGTTAACATATATAGGTATATGTAGCAAGCACATAAAATCTCAACATGTTTTTTCACAGTCTGGAAAAACTCACCACGTTATCCAATCCAGAATGACCAGAAATGGTATGATGTCCAACAGATCATCTCGATCAAGCCTTGCTTCCTGCAGAATCGTGAAAGCTAGACAAGTTCACTTCATTGTGGTGCTTTTGCCAACCACCACTGGTGTCGGCCTTGGAATGAGACCAGTAGTACCAGATGGAGGCGATCATTGACAGAATGGTCAATGCTGCTCCAGCAGCAAACACACCTTTGCGTAGCGTAGCACACGACAAGTCCTCGCCCCCAAAAATTCCTCTGTATTTTGTGTGGTATGCATTCCTCGCTGATCCACCCAACAAACAAGCCTCTGCCCCCAAAAAGCAAACCCTGCATTGTTGAAAAGATTATTTGCTGTGGTTAATATGCACTTGTTCCATCCATTCCATGCATTGGCTTGATCATATTTGCACGGTTGGATACATGCAAACCAACAACAATACTACAATTGGAAGAACTAAACTAATTACCAGCCAATAATAGAATATCATAAGCCTGCTTCTCAAACAGATCACAGCAATATGTCCTACTCACCCTTCGGATTCAAGGCAAGGAAATTGAATAAATACATGAAACAAAATACACCCACACTAGTGTAATACACTCTCCTCCATCCCCGTGGGAAATTCTACTTGCAATCTTCCACGGTCAAATTATATCTTCTTTCTTTACATATTTTCAGTAATCAATTGTTAAAATAACATAGTCAAACAACCTCTTGTTTGTATACTCCCTTCATCCCAATATTTATAAATTGATACTCCGTAGTTGTTATTTATGCAAAGTGAGAGAAACATTACGGGACCCATATTGTTTTCAATAGAAGTAAAACAGAAAATTAATTTGGAAAGACGAACGAAAAAACATGCAATTTAAATTGGGATAGAGGGAGTATAGCTTTTGATGTAGTTTATAAAAATTTTATTTTACATCAATATTTAAATAAACTGAATTCAAAATTTGTCAAGCTTGTTGACTGCATTTGTAATTCCCATTGGGGGTTGGGACGAAAAGACTAAAGAGTGAAGTTAGCATCAATAATCCAGCAAGTTGTTCTGTTTATAGCGTCATCTATCCATCAAATACACCAACACTTTAAAATGATCTTTGACCATGACGTATGGGCTTATAATAATGCTGCAAGAATAGTTTCACAAATTCTTTGAAGCAACAATTTCCATAGTATCAACATTAATGGATCAAATGTGAACTTCATGACAGAAAACAGTTACATAAGACCCTTTTAAGTGGTCACTTGTCAGATACTCAGATGTAGGGGCATAAAAGCAATGGCATTATAGGTGGAAAAGGATACCCAATAGCATAGATCTGAATGGGCAATGGTTTGATGTAGCAGTAATAGCACATCGGCACTTTCTTAATGCGTACATAACCAATAAGATCTTCTAGAATTCACTTGCAGCCTTAAATAACAAGATGCATGCATACATGACATGTAATGGAAAAGAGAACAATTGATGATATATTTGGATATGTTTCATAACAATTGACTATTATGTTGCATAATAAGATTAAAATGTTACCATTAAAAGAAATTGTTTCTTGAAGCCAATATTCAAACAGAAACTATGGGCTTTAAGGGGAAACGGCTAAATCTATAACAAAGCTAAACATTTTTAAACGGGTATCATTATACTCCCTTCGTCCCACAAAAGTTTTTCCACTTTCCTGTTTCATCCATCCCAAAAGAATTTTCCCACTTCCTCTCTTTATCTTTTTGGAAAAAGATATGTGGTCCAAAATACTTCTTTTTTCTAAACAAATTCTAACTACTCACTTTTCACCATCTTTTCAATTATTTCTTAATCTCCATGAAGTCAAAATGGAAAACTATGCCATTGATTAGTTTGGGTGATTTGGCAATCAGATATATAATCCTCCCTCTTTTCTCTTGAAATGTTTGAAATTTGAACAAGTGGTTTTGAGTTGGTAACCCTTCAATCCAAGTTTTGAGATCTGGATGGGGTAGTATGGGATAAATAAGCTTCCAGTTGAGTGCTTAGTTAAGAAGTCAATCTAATGCAAGGACTTATGCTAGGATATTGTAAAAGTTCACAAGAATAATCCACAAAAGAGTTCAAATAACTAAAGCAGGCAAACCTATTACTCTGTATAGTTCATTTTAAAAAGGTACATTAAACATCCTTTGTTTCTTACTTTCTACAATTCTTTGGATGGTAAATGCAGCAATTAATCAAGGTTCGAATGCAAACACTCTCTGTTTGGTCCTGTTGCATGCATCTTGACCACACTGATGATGTGATCTAGTGGAAGGGTGTGTTAAAACAAGTTCAATGTTCCGTTATGGGATTGTTCTTCCTCAGTATTGTGTCTCCAAAGGTGTTGTGATGGGATGTCATCAATTGAACACCACTTCACTGGCAAGTTTTCTCCATCAAAATTATGATTTGAATGAAAACAGAACAAGCAACTAGGCAATGACGGATTAAAGTAAACACAACATGCAATTTTGACTAAGAAACGGTATTAATAGGCAGGATTCAGGTTGAAAACCTCAGATCATGTGCGCAAGTCAATTGAAAATTGAGGAATTCTGACTAATAATTAGAAGAGGTGAACAATCAATCCTCTAAATGGTCGTTCAACTGGAAAATTTAGCAGCAAAAGAGACTAAACACGGAAAAAGAGAAGAAATGCACTGTGAGAGACGCCAACTCTTCTTTATTGCAAACCTAAATGGAAATAGCCCTACCAAGGATTTCTCCCATTAACACTTGCACAACCATTAACAGAAAGTTCACCATTAACACAATAACACCACTCACATTAGCCGCAACCGGGAAAGAAATTGCGAGGTTGAAGACAACTACTACTCTTGCGTGCATAGAAAATTACTTCAGGGTACCCTCGATTTTCAATAATAACTCCCAAGTCCCACATTTTCTGAAATATACTCGAGGTGTGCTTAACATTCATGGTAATGTTATTAATGTACTTCGAGGGTACATTCCGTCCATTTGGCCGTTAAGATTGAAAGTTCTTTTAAAGAGGTAAGGATGTGCGGATCTTAACTTCAAGCCCCAACAGAGTTGGAATTATGCTGGGTATGTAGTTGTTATTGTATTATGTGTTTTCACATTTGCATTTCATAGAAGCCACTAGTCTCACAAAGCAAGAACAATGATTGGACTTACCAAGAGAAGATGAAAAGGGCACAAATTGTAGATTTCCCACCAACCATTCCTTTCCGAGAACACGAGCACCTCGTAATACCATTTACCAAAGCTTGGCTGATGAGAAGCAGCCCAAAGGCCGACAGTCCATACGCTGTAGATGCATCTGTTCCGTACTGGCAGTACGTCCTCTCGTCATACTCATCTGGCACAACATTCGCCTTCCAAATCCAATGAAATTAACAAATTACGCCGTAAGTGAAATCGATTACTACCGGCAAAGAAGTTAGTACCGTATGAAATGTTACTTGCACATTTGAGCTCAGTAGAATTAAAGCAAAACGAATGAAAAATTGCAGCGGCGTTTGAGCAGAAAAAGAGGAAGCGATGAGAACGGATTTACCGTACTGCGACGGCGTTCGGCACCGACGGCGAGAATAAAGGCTATGAGGTTAAGGGAGAAGACAGCTAGTAGAACCGGAACAGAGACCGCCATGAATGACTATCTAGAGTCGTCCTCGATCAGGATTTCTGCTTCGAAAATGGAAAGTTTTATTCACTTTCTGCGGGCAAAACAACGGGAATTCGGAGTTCGGACAACTGCATCTGAACGAGAAGCTGTGATTGTTGGGGCTGCTGTAAAACCAATTTTGGGGGTGGTGGGAGTAGCTGATGGTTGAACGAACAGCAAGTAATATTGGGAATTGGAATGGAAAAGAGACATCCCACCGACAGATATAATAGGCACTACGCCTCTCCGCTGCCAACCTAACTAGAAAAGTGATATAAGGAGTATATTCAATAATCCCTCCGTCCGGAAATGTTCTTTACATTTGATTTTTCTTGGTCAAAATTTATAAACTTTGACTATGATTTGTGGAAAAAATACATTATATAATGATGTAAATTTAATATCAATATATTTATAATGAAACATAGTTTTCAAATATCAAATTTTTATAAAATATATCTATGTATAAATATTGGAGACCGTGAAAAATCAAATCGGAAAAACATTTCCGGACGGAGGGAGTAATATATTTAAAAAAAATTACTTTCGAGTACCCTCGATTTTCTGGTAATGACGCTTAGGTTTCATATTATCTAAAATATACTCTGAGGTACTCTCGATTTTTTGGTAAGAATTCTCAATGTCTCACATTATCCGAAATATATTCCGAGATCCTTAAAATTTGTGATGTTATACTCAAAGATTACATTCTCTCAATTTAGGAGTTAGATTAAAAGTTCTTTTACTTTGACATATTGAAGAACTTTTTTAATTTAACAATATAATGACCATAAAGGTGTTGGAATGCATGAGTTCAACCCTTTCTGTGTTGTTAAGTGTTGACTCACAGGTTTTGATAATTGACAAACACAATTTATTCAAGTCAAGATCAAAGTGCTACAACGTCAAAACACGAATACTTGAAGTGTCATTCCTTGAAATATTCAAGAAGGTGCACAGGATTTTATTGGAGTCCGAGACGCGTTCGGAGTGCCTAACGGAGGACTCGGAGGAGTAGAAGATTTCCGAAGACTTTTTATTTATTTGAGTCGTAGGAATTTTTGTAAGGATGACAAAAATATCTTCTCTCCAAAATTATTTTTATGAGAGTTAAAATAAAAATTATATTTATTTTTGGAGTCATTTGAAAAATCATTTTAACTGTTCAAAATAGTTTTATTGAGTCAGTCACAAAAGGTGTGCCAAACATTTATCAAATATTTATTTTGATAATATAAAATATTTTTGGTAAGCAAAAATATTTTATTCAAATATTTTTCGTGTACTTCGTTTGACACACAAAATATTTTTGGGGCTCAATTTCTACACCAAAATTCTTTAATTAATTCAAATTTTGAATTTGAATTAATTCTTTCAAACTTACTTGGTTTGTTTGTTTTTGGGAACCTTATAATGTTGTTATTTTGTCCTAAACAAAGCATTAAGCTCCAATTTGTACATCCCACTCGCACACATGTTTTGGGTCCTCGTGTTTGGGCTCTGTCCGTCAGTGGATCGATCCTTCCTTGTGGATCGATCACTTCGTTTTGTGCTCAGGGATTTGGATCGATCCATTTCCTTAGATCGATACGCCGAAGCCGTGCAAAAATTCTCTTCCAGAATTCTTGACTCCTTTGGATCGATCCCCTGCCTTGGATCGATCCCCCGAAGCTTTGAGAGAAACTCATTTTCGATCCATTACTCCAGGTGATCGATCCTCTCCCCTTGGATCGATCCCCAACGGCTTTTATCTGTCAAAATCAGCCTTCCCCACTTCCAACGGATTTATTCCTTTTCCTCTATTTAAACACTCTTCCTTGGTCTTTTTTTTTAACAAGAAACACTCCAATACTCCCCATTCTTGAGGTGTTAATCCTCCATCAATCTTTCCTCAAATTTATATTATTTTGAGAGAAAACTATTTGTTTTTAAGAGAGTGTTTTGTCATCCATTAGAGCTTTAATCATTTCTCATATCTACTCTTTTGAGAGCTATTGTTGAGAGGTTGAAGAAGATTGTTCTTCTTGTTGTTCAAGGCTTATGTGATTTAAGTCTTGGTTGTGAAGTCTTGTAGAGGGCATATCTACGAGCGGTTGTGTCGAGGCTTGTGGGATTCAAGTTCTCGAGTTGTAAACGGTTTGTTAAGCACCCGTAAGCTTAACGGAAGTAGTGGTAGCTTCGAGAGAGTCTCTCGGGGAACTGGACTAGCCACGAGGTGGTGAACCAGTATACATCGGTGTGTTCTTCGCCTTCTCTGTTTTATTTCCGTTGCACTTACGTTTATATTATTAATCCTGCGAAAATCGGTAAACATTCTCAACAACTCTATTCACCCCCCCCTCTAGAATTGCACGCCTTGTCTAACAAAAGGTAAATTTTAGTATTTTCCAAAGTAATAGGTCTTTCAATCATAACAACTAAATCGACGGGATATACCATCGGAGTACATTACTACAAATTTTAAGGACCCCTAGACTCCTAAAGTATATTTAGGATAAAATGGGACCTGAGAGTTCTTACCAGAAAATCAAGTGTACCCGGAGTATATTTCATATAATGTGGGACCCGAGAGTTACTGCCAGAAAATCGAGAGTACCCGGAGTAATTTTCGGAATAATATAAGAAAAAAAGAAAACCTCCTAAATAGGAGTAAAACATGTATCATATCCCAAAGTAGTACTCCAAACTTAAACTCCCCTAAATAGGAGTTAAATTATTGAAATATAAAAGTTCAGATCCACGCACACTCACAATAGCCGGAAAATTCCATGCTTAGACGTCCAGCAGCATCTTTCTATGGAGCCGATCAACTTCTAAAGTCTAGTTGGAATGGATAGTGTATGGGTTACGGTGGAAAATTTCAGCCTGGTAGAGTCCTATCACTCCTATTTTTTTCTTGATTACTTCTTCCCCAAAATCATAGTGCTAATCGCATTCGACTTCGCTCAAAGCCAGACCTCTTCTTCTCCAATCAATTTTAATCGCCATCGCCAACCAATCACAGCTTCATCACCGCCACCGCCGCCAAATCATAGCGTCGTCGATGCTGCCGCCATGCACCGCATCCCTCTCAGATTCATTGCCGTACTCGTGTCACGCCGCCCACCTCCATGTCTCTTCCTTAAAGCATGATTTCAAAAGTGAGCATTTTCTCTCTCTATCTTTAATTGAATTCTATTTTCTTCAAAATTCTCGCTAGCGGTCATGGAGAGCATTGGATTTGGTTTGACATTATGTCATTGTGTAACATTGTGACATTATATATAAGCATATGTGGCATTATATATGGGCATCTATGATATTATATATTGTCATATGTGACATTATATGGTGTCATGTTTGACATTATGTCTTTCTTTGACACTGTATTGACTGTTAATGTGGCATTGTGGCGACGATGGTGCAGATTGTGATGGCAGAGTCGTTGATAATGGCATAGAGCGGTGATCTCGTTAGTGGTGACGATGAAAAATTAAAGGGGTTAATAGTAGGTTTCGATTGCAGCGATGCGGTGCAATAGAAGACGGCGGCGGTGATGATTCAAGTGATAGTGACAGGGATGCGGCGGCGACGATGGCGGCATTGGGCATCACCGTCGACGACGATTGCAGTAGTGGGCGTCGCTGTCGGCAACATGCTATTGTGAAGTTGGCCAATTTTTTTTAGTTTTGGACTTGGCCGCCACTGGCGGATCTATTAATAAGGGGGTAAAACTTAAAAGTGGTGATCTATATGCATTTGTAGATCTATTGGCCACAAAATGAAGCGCGTGTGGGGAGCATTTTTTTGTTTTATTAATTTAGTTAATTACTCCTATTTAGAGGAGTTTAAGTTTGAACTCTTATTTTGAGGATATGACATACCTTTTACTCCTAGTTTGGTCCTTCTCCCTAAGAAAAATGTCAAAAATTAGAGTAATTTCCAAAATAGTTTTTTCTAATAAAATATTTTCCAAAATTAGTTCTTAATATGTTCTAATTACTTACATGATACTTTATGATCGAGATTTATTGCCTAAATAGTCTTCCATAAAAATGTCATTTAATAGTGATTAATTATAGGGTATATCAATATTTGTATCATCTAAACTTAAATAAATTCCCAAAATGATCATTTCTATACAATTTCATGTAAAATTAAAATAACTATTGACTATACATAATTTGTGAATTATTAAAAATCTACCAGAATATTTTAAAATTTGAACCAAATACACCTCAGTTAGAAAAAATCATTTTGAAAAAACACTTCATTAGAAATGATAAATTTGAGAACTTACTCTAAGTCTGGAAGATGAAAAATGCAACATATCCTCCATTTAAGTGACATTTTATACGAAGGATTACTTAAGGAATAAATCTAAATTTAACGTACTACGTAAGTAATTAAAATTTATTGAAAGCTAATTTGGAAAAAGATCATTTTGAAAATTTACTCTAAAAACTAAGAAGGTAAATTTTATAAATGATCACTAATTACAGGTGATTTTTTATATTTAATTCTCAATTCTAAGATGTTATATAAATAGTTTCAATTTCTGAAAAACTATTCCATAAATGATCATTTATGCTAGATATGACAAAACATTTTTTCTACTAATAGTCCCTAAAAGACCGACTATAGAATGTACATGTTTTGATTAAATATCATGGAGTGTGTGTGTGTGTGTGTGTGTATATATATATATATATATATATATATTACGAAGTAGAATGTACATGTTTTGATTAAATATCACGGAGTAAAATAAATAAATATACAAAATAAATAATATCCATCAAAAATAAATATTCATGGAAATGTATAAGAAATACGGTAAATATGTATGTAGAGTAGAGACTCAACTAGCTAAAACTAATTTTATTGCTATGGATTTGACTCATCCTGTCAAATAAGGATGGCAATGGGTCAGTTTCGAATCAGATAGTACTATACTCGAACCCGATCCAACCTTTAAAAACAAATTCCAAACTCAATTCAAAACCTGACTTTTAAACCAAAAACCCAACCCGAACCCGACATTTTAAATACCACTAATTTCAAATATTGACGCGTGAATGCAAACTTAAAGAATGCTTACAACAACAAATAAAATAAAAAACAAATGCACAAGGCATCTTCTCCTTTTTTTCTTTTGGAGTAGGAAATTGAAAAAGAAAATACTAATGAGAGAGTCTACCATGCACTTGTAATATGAAAATTTGAAATAATATTTAAAAAGTAAATCTAGTAAATGTTTGTCTAAATATGCATCAAACACATAAATCCATGTCCATCTTAAGTGGATATAAGAATTTATCAGTAGTAATGTATTTTCCAAAATTTGAATATTATTCTCAATTTGTTCCTCTTATTTATTGCACCCATATTTGGATTTTCCATTTTTAGAACCTCTAATGGAAATGGTGTTCCAAGACATTCTAACAAACAAAATCAGGGTTCTGAGTCAGATTGGGTACCAACCCTACAAAACTCATCTCAATTACCAAGATGAATAATGTCTGATAGAAATAACTATACCTTCTTCACTCTAGTACACAACTCAGGTGAATAAAGTCTAAATGGTACACTCTACATGTTTTTTTTAAAGGGGGTCAATGTACACAAGGGGAATTCGATTTCACATTACGAAAGCTCTATCGAAAATCCCCCCCAAAAGGCTTGCGAAAATAATAAGATACAATCCAACATCTGATATAGCCAGACAAAAATGGCCTCTTCTTCTATACTTATACTCTACTATGGAAGCTTGCAGGAAATGGTACATCAGATCTCAATCTTCTCATCAAATCCATCCATGTTCTTGCCTATATATTACCATCATATATATGCCTTCTAGTTTGGTTTTTTCTTCTTGAAATACCTTTTTGCAGTTTTTTTTTCATTTTCTCATAGTAATAAACAGCGACAACACATTGTGAGGTGTGATACCCATCAAGTTTCTGAGGAAGGTACCGACTTAACCCCAATTCCGGCAGAAAAAGCTAAAATCAGGGTGGTTGGCCTGAAGTGCAGTCAGCCAATTTCCCGCAGCCTGCAAAAGAGAGCTCACCATCTCATATTCGCATCCCCCGTCAGTTACCCATTGTGATGCTTTGAACTTGTATGAAGCTAGGCCAAACACAGGTAAGCGAGTCTTGACCGTGCTATCCACCTCACATGTGGCACCTGAAGAAACTTTGGTATAAAGCAATTATAGCAAGAGGTGTCATGAAATACAAATGATTTGATGATATGAGAAAACAAAATTCACATCCATAACACAAGCTGGGAAGAGCAAGTTAAAAATATATAAATATATGAAATTCATCAAGCTTGTACCTGGTGCATGAAGGCAATGATAGGAAAGGAAACAAGCATCCAATGGTTTGAGAGTAGGTCCCAATGGTATCCGATAAATTGGGTACCTAAATAATTAACATTGCATTGACCACTTAGGCGGATGCATGCAATTAATACGCTTCGTGAACATAGACAAGGATAGATAAGTCTACCAGGCCACAGAAATCCAACTGGAGGGATGTAGGTCACAACTTCTAAGTGTTTTCAACTCAGGAAAGTGAACAGCTAGGCTAGATATCTACAAATTATTATCATTATTGTTATTTTTATACGGAGCAGCATGATAAGAATAATAAAATGATAGAACCTTACAGCCATAAATTAAAATGCACAAGCCTTTATCATTGAACGAATATGAATATATCAACCTTGTCTGCAAAAGGTTCCCGGCCATGAGGAGGACTCCTCTCAAAATATTCAAACACCAAATAACAATGAGAACACACAGACTCGCCTTCGTCACTGGAAAAACCTTCTCGTAATGCAGTATTCTCATCGCTTAATGACAACCTGCTTTTCCTAAAGCACTTTCCACGAGTTGAACAATTTAAGCAACCTCTATCCTGTTCCGAGTCACTGCTTCCATCACTAGTAGACTCTCTAGAAAAGTCACCATTAATATCCTCTCCTGGTTGCCTATCATGTAAGAGTCAAAAGCATGTTAGAGCCGTAGGATGTAAATATTGAAATAAACATATATAGATCCCATGACATTCAACTGAGTGGAGAAGTGGTTGTTAGACTGAAATGAGGCAATTGCAAACATTCCAAATAAGCATGTAGCACATTAAATGGAGTTGGAATTAATGCGGCATGCAGACCTTAGTGTATGAATTGATAATAAATGCCTGAAGTGTTGAGCTTATTTATACTTTGACGTCACATAGCCAATGGTTGAGATACCCAGAGAAATTAAAAAAGGTACCAGATAGGGCTGAGCCAAAAAAGAAAAAGGGGGAGATATAAAGGGAACGAAGCATGGTATATGCACAAGTCCTTGTGAGAAATAATAACTAATATGGATCATCCTATCAACAGATGTAGTGGCTCAAATAATGAGATGCCATCTTTCTAATTAAGTACACACTTCCTACTTCGTGATAGAGAGTAAAAAGGCTCCAAGAAAAAAGTGAATTTATTAAAAGATTAAAAAAACAAGGAGTGAATGGGCTTCAAAGAAACAGTCAATCTTGATGAATTTAATGTTTGTACCAACTAATAAAAGGTGAGTGAAATGTCATTCATTTACATAATATATCTTTCAATATTTATAAATTTTCAAATATGTATGAAGGTCAATTTTGAAATGGCATTGCGCAATACGCCATATTGCCCACCTCATGTCTATTTTCAGAGAAAAACGCCTTGTGGCGATCTAGCCATAGGCCATATGGGTTTCTAAGCAATGGGGCATGAGGTTTACGCAATAAGGCGTATGCCATGAAGTTTATGCAATGAGGCTGTGCCATGAGGCGTACCCCATTTAAAAATGAAAAAAAGAAGATTAAGGTTAAATTAGTGATTTAATTAGAAAAAAATTAACGATAAATTACCGAACCTACTACCCTAGTCTATCAACGCATCCAGTCTCCTCTTCAGTCTTCTTTGCATTCATCTCTGTGCAACTCTCCTTGAGCCTCCTCTTCTTCTTTAATTTGTTTCATTTATTTTCACCTTAATGATAACATTTTGTTCTTACTAATTTGCTATTAATTTAGTGCTTTTGGTTTTTATTGTCACTGATTTCTCAATAAAATTTGAAAATTTTATGTACATAAATTTTTAGTTCTATCTTTTTAGTAAAAGAGATTGCTTAAATGACGGACCCATCATTTGACAATTTATGTTGCCTTCAACCAATATTTTGTACTACGGCATGGTAGACTTTGTTGCATTTGAAATATTTTACTTTAACAATTTACTTCTTTAATGTGTATGGATTAATAGTGCTATTAATAATATTCTATCTTTAGCTTAAATAATATTATGCACATCTTACCATCTAAGTACATTAAAATGAGGCTTATGCCTCAATACGCCTTGAAGCTTATGCAATAAGCCATGGGGGAAAATAGCCTCAAAACCGCAATACGCTATTTAGAACATTGATGAAGGTATCCACTATGCACTCGGCCCTCTAATGTATTCCCTTTCAAACCCCTCCACCAAACAGACCCTAAAAAGCCAACGACTTATTACATTTCAAGCAAGAGAAGCACATATAATCAAATGCTCCATCCTCCTAACTAAAAGTTGACAATATGTTTTACGATGATTAGCTTAAATTATTTACCACTAAATTTATTTACTAATTGGTATAAAATTCAAAAGTAAAACTTTCATATTTAAAACTACATAAACAAGATCCACAAAACAAGAGGTGGCATACTATTTTATTTTATTAAGTGATAGATGAAAATATATAAAGAAAGATGAAATAGCCTGACCACATGAATAATAACCATAAAGAATCAATTGGGACGGAGGAAGTATGTATTAGCCCCAACCTTGGGGGAGCATGGAATATTAGGTGTACAATGTGAGCTAAGCTTCTAGAAAACAAATCATCAAGAATCTATGTAATTGTATAGCCATTAGAGGTGTCTTGTGTAGTGTAAGTATATATTAGCATCCATGAATAGAGTAATATTAGATAGGAGCATCTGGAGGTCAAGGATTATGGTGGTAAGGTAGGCTTTGGGTAGTGCTTTGCCAAATGTGAGAGTAGTTGCCTTTCTTTTTCATACATGAGTGCTTGTTTTTTGTACTTTGCTATATGTTTTTATCCATTTAGCATTAGATGCAACCGACCACCAAAGCCATCTCCACTTGCTACATCAACGAATAATCACACCCTGCCAGCAACATTGGATGGCAAAACTATCGAGGTATGATTCTCATGTTACATACAAACTCAGGAAGATCAACAATGCATGAGATGCATTGTCAAGATAGCATAAGAATTGGAATTATTGGGAGTTTCTCCTAATTTGGACCTGGACACGACACGGGAAGCCATCTGGCTTTTGAGAGTAAAAATGGACACCTATTCTACAAAACTCACATGGCCTCTCCCCTCAATTTGTCATGGATTTCTAAATTTTTAGAAGCATTTCACTCAATGCCCATGGAAGGTCACTCATGCCTACCGCACCTACCAATATTTAGTTGCTTGCATGCATTTGAAGGGCGCGACTATATGTATCCAAAGGTGTGTAGCAACTAGGAGGTGGCCTTATATGCCAAAAGATTAAGTATAATACCTTAGTGCCTCACATGACTTCTTCATCCCTTACCTATTCTATCTTCGCCATGGAGATTATCTCCATGGATTTCATTACTAGCTTGCTTGTTGTCATGTTCCCAGGCATAGCTAGGCTTCACATGCCAATCACCTATGGTGAGCAAGTGTTGCCTTCTCCAATGTCCACACAAAAGGATAGAAACTACCCCTACAAATACAGGATAGGGCGATGGCCTACTCCGGAACACAACCAGAGTCTAATTTTCATGATCAGTGACAACACATGATTTAAAGACCTCAATTAAAAAGAATAACTAGGGATTGAATGTTCATTTGGTTGATCTTTTTACCTTATTAGAACATTGTAATAGGCTATATTATGAGACCTCCTCCTTGAAGAGAATCCATGTTTGGTACTTTAAAATCATAATCGCATTCAAATATGAGCAAAATCACTGCTGGGGTCACGTGGAAGCATCCTCTCTACTTCCAAGTAGGGGTAAGGTATGTGTATACCCACCCCTAAGACCCTACTTTTTGCAGGATTCTACTAGTTTTGTTGTTGTTGTTGTTGTATCAGAGCAAAATCACTCTTCTGGAGGGTACTCTCATAGTGTCCCTCGTTCATCCATCTTCCTATTAGTCTCAAATTCCATTGTAGTTAGCTGTCCTCTTACCCTTGCATCTTACTCTATCAGATATTAACACTAGTCCGGGCACTCTTCCCCCATCCAGCTGGAAACAACAATTCCAGGCCAAATCTCCCCCATCACTTTTAGATATAGGATTAACTACCAAATATACGGTGCTTAATGTTCCGAGCACTTGTATTGCTCTTAGTTTTTGCTGATTCATCAGTAGAAAAGTTTATTCCCACTTTAGTCTTAAGTTAGAAACAATTCATTGTTCAACTAAGTAAATGAGAACTAGAACAAATTGAAGTTGTACGAAAAATCAAAAGAACATGACCTTTTTAAATAGTTGGTCAGCTGTTAAATTTTACCTATGAAACTGTGAGCCTGTAATTTAAACTTGTGCAAAATTTGTTGGATGGCTTGAGATTATCTAATTTTATGACTTGTTTATTTTTTAGAATATTGTTGTGCCGGATATGCCTAAGTTTAACATTAAATGCTGCAGAGTGCAAAATGGCCTCTCTACTTTTTAATAGGGGTAAGGTCTGTGTACACACACCTTCTCCAAACCCTACTCTTGTGGGATTCAAATAGGTTGTTCTTGTTGCTACAGAGTGCAAAAGTTAAGGCTTACACCTCATACAACCTCGCTGCATACACCTCACCTCATAAACACAAACTCTTCAAGGCTTAAAATAGCCTTCTGAAGCTTCTAAATAATGCAAACATTAACATGTATGATAAACATTTAGAAAGATCAAAACTTAGATGTATGTGTTAGATATAGAAGTAGAGAACATAATGAAGAAATATAAAAAAATATAAAATGCCAACAAAACATTTTAAAATAGAAAAAACTGGACTCTTCTAATGTAAACAAAAAGAATGTATTTAATTTGTTTTTTCTGAAGACCTAGAAATAAGGCTTTAACCACATCATCAATCATTGCAGGCTTTCAGCAACACGCAGACACCTTTCAATGGCAGTATGGCACATCCACTTTTGTTTCTTTGACGATTTTAAAATAAGATGATAAAAGATAAACTATGAAGTCCTAGAAAGTACGTACGTACGTACGTACGTACGTACATGCATACATACATACATACATACATACATACATACATACATACATACATACATACATACATACATACATACATACATACATACATACATACATACATACATACATACATACATACATACATACATACATACATACATACATACATAC